ATCGATTTTTTCTAATCGATGGTAATCGATTCTCAGTTGATAATTGATTGCCAACCTGGTTTAAAATTTCGTGATGGATACAAGACTTCCTGTTCACCATATTTCAAAACAAATGTCATTGAAATGCTTTGAACAAATTAAAAGGTTTTTACATGTTTCTTCTCCTGCAACAACAATCAAAAATTACTTTGACAAATTAGAACCATTGCTTTCTCACATTCGGAATGTTTCAAAGCATTTTTACATGCCAAATTCTAATGTCTCAGTGGATGAAATAATAATTCGATTTTCTGGCAGAAGCATTCACACTGTGCGGATGAAAAACAAACCAAATCCAGAAGGATTCAAGATTTTATCACTTTGTGATGTGGGATACACCTACACTTTTTTGCCAACCTCACGCATTTCTCCAAATGATGTAAAGAAAATCAATAGTCTTAATCAAACTGGATGTCTGATTCTTCACCTTGTTGAGCAACTTCCATATCATTGATTTTCATATAATATATATATGGACAATTATTTTTTGAGTGTTCCTCTTTATCAACATCTTCAGCAAATTGGTATTGGTGCTTGTGGAACTGTTCGAAAAAATGCTTCTGGGTTTCCAAAAGAATTGAAAGTGGATAAAAGCATCAAACTTGATTGGGATATTCGTTCTGGTATCATAATAAATGAAGTATTGGCTGTTTTTTGGCAAGACAATGGGTCTGTTACGATGTTATCAATGATTTATGATCTTGTTGGTGAAGAATGGGAGGTAATGCGAGAGAGACGATGACCAAGAGAAACAAGCACTAATGTAACTAAGATACGCGCAGTATTTGGTTCTGAACCAAAAAAAGAATTAAAAATTCCAAAGATAATTGACGATTACAACCACAATATGAATGGTGTGGATGTCACTGATCAACTGTGATCATACTACAATACACAACAAACAACATGAAGAAATTGGATACCTCTTTTTTTTGGCTGCTTGCTACTACAATTATTAACACGTATCAGATTATCTGAACTTTAGGATCAACACAAGAACACAAAGAATTTTGTCATGAGCTTGTTTGGGATCTTATTGATTTTGCCAATGATCCTGGTAAAGTTCAACTGAGAAATAGAAGAAACGAAATCAACAAAAGAAATAAAGCAGCCAAAAGTAACAAAGCATTTTGAGCTTTCAGATCAACGGTTGATACCTGGAAATCACTTTGCAGAGTGGAGAGAACAACAGGAAGTGTATCAGTGGTGCGCTTGGCAAGCAAAAAAAAAGAATTGAATATGAGCCGTAAATCACCAAATCGAAGTCAACTATAGTGTGTAGCATGCAATGTACCTCTTTGCTATAATATGAACCAAAATTGTTTTTTAGAATACCATATCAATAAATAAAGCAATTTATGAGTTACCTGGTTCAAATGCTACGGATTTAGATGCTTGTAAACATCTTAGTTGCGTAAAAAATTATGTGCATAAAATACGCTACAGCCACAACATGGCACAGTCAAATTTTCATATTACATAATGTTACAATTATTTTCAATAATTCCGTAATTAACGAATCTTTTAAAAATAATAGAAAATATGAAAATCTTCAA